TCCTCCTCTTCCATCTGCTCCATCACTTTTATTACTTTCATGCTATTACACTTTCTCTTCTCTTTCTCCTTCACTTATCCTTCTTGCAAATTAGTTACATGTCTTTTCAATATATGGCGGGTAGGAGGCTGTACTGACGATTCTCACTCCTACTTCCGCATGCACTGTTCGGTCTGTGTATATAGCTTAGGGATGAAACACAGAGACTGCATCGTGAAATATCCTCTTATACATGACACCTAATTCCAATCTTTTTACTCCACTATTTATGATAAACACCATTTGAGTCATTAGAAAGTCGAATCAGAAGTGGACGGTCCAAGTGGGTCGATGACCGAAGTGGGTTGAATTGGTAAAAAATTTTTTTTTACTTTCTCGCACAGTCATATGCCAAAACGATGTTTCACTATCAAAAAAATAGTGGAAAACTGTGAAATATTGTGATAACCTTCAAAACCACTGCCGGGAAGAGTGCTGTATTTTTGAGTTTTTGTGGAATATCAAACGCTTTGCCCAGATGTTTGCCATTTTTTGAGAATGCAATTGTGCTGCTGTCCAGATCAAGCATACAACCGATCGTGTCACCAAGAGTGAATGATGTGCCATAGTTTTCAAACTGCTTATTGGTACTCTTTTTGCCAGTACCACCATAACCAAAACCATTACTATCGGTGCCTGAAAATTCATTTATCAGTTGGCAAAACTCCAATAGAAGGGACTAGCCTCTCCTATGCATAAAAATGTAAATATTACGATGTATAGCTGTGGTAATGGTAAGAAATGTATACGACTTAATGGACTGCAAAAAAAAAAAAAAAAAATATTTGAGCGAAATACCTAAATCGAGTGCAGCATTGGCAGCAGACCATCCAAGGCGACATAATCCATCATCGGTCACCGTACCTTCATAATAATATTTGCCTGCAAAGGATAAATCATCACTCATTACATTCTGTACAAATGAATATGCTAGTAATATAATTAAACAATAAAATGACCGAAAATATTGTCAGTATTATTATCAAAATCAATATTGCCAAGATCATTATTATTATTATTATTATTATTATTATTATT